ACATACATACATACATACATACATACATACATACGTACATACATACATACATACATACATACATACATACATCATCATCAGTGTTGTAGCGGGATGGGCTTCTTCTAAGCTCCCCCATACTGTCCCAGCGACAGGACGTTTTTTTTTTTCTAGTTGTCGATAAAAATAAAATATAGATATGAACTTTTTAAAATCCCCTGTGACTCTAGACAAAATAATACAATGTATAATGACACCCAATACGCCCAGGCTATTTCACGTTGTGGACCAGAATACAAAAAACCCACAAAAAAACGCCATAATTAGCGGTGTTAAACCCTAAAAAATCCTAAATTAACTCCACCCACCCACCCCACAAAAAAACAACACCTAGCAAACGAGAGCTCTCGTTTTCTGTGATAAAAATAAAAACGCGAATTCTTGAGTGAGGGAAGAACTTAGTGACGGTATGGACTGTCCCACCGACGAGAAATAAAAGTATGCTCAAATTTCTAAAGGTATCAAATTCTACGATCAAAGATTAACAAAGGCAATGTATAAATTGGCTTAATTTTGCTCTCTGTGATTTTCTCCCGGACCAGCCTGGCCGCAAAGATTAGACTTCTATGTCTGCTGTACCTCGTCCAGTGCGGTAGCCACACTGGCTTTCAGGCAAAGAGTCATCTGAAGAGATAACTGTATCTTTAACAGGCGTTATATATAAAGAAATCGGGCTAAGATCTTGCTGGCTATTGACAGTACGGGATATTTAATATGCCTCTGTGGTTGTCACAAGATTTCCTGCCATCTTCGCTTTTTGAACAGTAGCCACAACACTAGTTCGTCTTCTTTTTTGGGGGTCTTTCACCTTTGAGGGGAGAGAAGGGCTTGGCCTCTCATTATAACGTTGCCTTTTTTATACCCATAATTTGATTTTCTTCGCTTCCAGTAAATGACCTTTTCTATCATCCCATGCCCAAAAGAGCAACGTCATCTGCTTCGTCTGCTGGAAGTTCGTGGTTAGCCACTTAGTCATGCCATGCGAGACAAATACGCTAGGTCAGGTCCTCAAAGTCAGGGAAAGCTACTATGTAGGTAGAGATGCTGGCGTAGGCGTGTACGGTCTGACCTTTAGAGTGGTTCAGTCACTCTTTTTTTTTTTACCAGGTTTTAGAACCATCATTTTGTTGATCACAAAAAACGGAAACCTTTACAAGAAACCCTGTGCTTCTTAGTAACTATATATCATTTCAAAATGAACGATACTCACTAACTCTCCTTTTTGTTTGCTTGTGAGTTGTTGTTGTTGTTGTTTTGTTGTTGTTGTGTTTTTTTTCGTTTTTCAACGCTTTTTTTCAAGGGAAGGGGAAAAAGGGGGGGGGGTCTCTTTATATCAAGCAAATGCATCTCTAAATATCTAGTTTAAGGTTGAATCATACCGTGACGAGCCTAGAGGTGGAGTCAATTATTTGACCCACTCCCTTGAAGTAGGGTTGCTCCTGATTATCTTCTAACTTAATGCGTCACGTCGTACCTAAATATCACGACTTCGCTGAGTGCAATTCTGCTTATCTCAGCATTTTAACAGGAGGACAGCTGAATGTAATTTCATGGAGCCGACGCGGGCATGCATGATCCGAAGATGGTGGGGGTAGATTATACTGTAACCGTGAAGACAGTCTCCAAGTGAGGCCAAGAGATGAACTCTATAGGGAATGTACTGCCATGGATGTTCAATTGTCCTTTTCGTCTTTTTTTTTAAAGATAATAAACTATTCCTTTACTTGTACTAGAAACTGGACTATTGTATTTTCTTCGGGTCGAAAGGGGGTTCTCGTGGTCTAGAGGTGACAGCGTTTGCCTCTCATTCAATAGGTCCCGGGTTCGAAACCTGACAACGACGGAACATTTTCATCTCTGAAATGTTCTTCTTTCACCTCCTTTCCTGCTTTCTAACCATGTTTTGTCGTCTGCTTTCGTCTCCACTTTCTGTCTCCACTCCTTACCCCCCATTGCCCCCTCCTCTGGGCTCATGACTCTTCCTGCAGCCTTTCTACTGCTACTCCTTGGGTCCTTATTGCTACTGTCTTTCAGCCACAATATAAGGACGAAAAGTTTCGGAGGTCCCGTGTTGAAGTTGCGCACGTTAAACATCTCTTGATGGCCAAAATCAATAAGAGTAGGATTCGACCGCCACTCAGGCAAAATTACAAATTAAATCCAACCAAAACTGTAAAAGTGTAATGTGTCCCGCGCGTTCATATGACTTTATGCAGTTGCGAGCGCCGTAAAACACTTATCTACAGGTACCGGTCCCTATCGAAAGTATTCGCTCCCCCACCCTACGAGATGTACTCAAGGTTATTGCTCAGGTTTATTGCTTGAAGAACGAAAACGACCTTTTCAGTCACTAACGTGAGCTCTGAGACAAACATAGCAACGGACAGCGAATTGGATACAATTAACGTGAGGGTTTACACCCTTCTGAAGAAGATTGATGGTCCTTTATGCTACTCAGTCACCCTGTCAGTTCCTGCGGTTTTTACAACCCCAGTGACAACCAGTCTTACTGTTGTAGTGGTTGGTACAATAAATTGTTGTCTAGAATTGTCTCTGTCGCTAGCCAAGCGCTTAATTGCCCTTAAGTGAATTCTTTAAAAAAGACGAAAGACGTTTCATTAGGACACAGTAGGCTAAATATTATTATGTTACCTGTTGCAGCCGAGAATCCAGACCATGATCTGTTGGATAAGAGTTCATTAGACCAGAGAGAAAAGAGCAAAAAGCTGATTTTAGTGATTTTGTGGTTGTTTTGTTGTTTTCTCTCTCTCTCTCTCTCTCTCTCTCTCTCTCTCTCTCTCTCTCTCTCTCTCTCTCTCTCTCTCTCTCTCTCTCTCTCTCTCTCTCTCTCTCTCTCTCTCCCTCCCTCCCTCTGCGTGTGTGTATGCGTGTGTGTGTGGGTGTGTGTGTGTGTGTGTGTGTGTGTGTGTGGGTGTGTGTGTGTGTGTGTCTGTGTGTGTCTGTGTGTGTGTCTGTGTGGCCGGTGGGTTTAGGGAACAACAGAGTCAGTTATGTTAGGTTGTTGTTTTGTTCCCGTTGAAGGTGCTTCTTGTCTGGGTCTCCGGCTCCTTCGGGTAGCACGTGAGGCAAAACAGTCTCCCGCTGTCCTTCTGGATAAGCATCCCGTCTCCTGTTTTCGATGGCTGGACGGATACCTCTTGATCCAGTACGCAAGAAGGAAGGGGGACACCGCGGATCTGTTGCTGTTGTCGGTCCATTCTGTTTTGAAGCAGGGGTTGACGACCACACCTTAGCTTGACGAGAAAGGTCTGGTCGCTGCAGGATCCTATTCCGCTGCCCTTTGTTCGGCGCATGTCCCGTGTAATTTTTCTCTTTTATTAATTCATTATATATTCTTCAACGGTTCTTGTTTTACTCTTTGTATTTAGCACAGGCGTTGCTGTTTTCCATGGGATGCTCTGGGCCCGGGAAGGTCATTGTCACTTCGGAAGCTTTGTCAGCCAGATCGTTCCCACAGGGAATGTAAGTGTTGCCCGGAATCCATTGGATCGTCCATCGAAAGCGAAGATGAGTCGGTGTCATCAGCTTTGGAATGAAGAGGCGATGCGATTAGGGTCAGGTCACAGAATTCTACACTAAGCGTAGAATTCTGTGGGTCAGGTAAAACTACCGCTATCTGTTGCTCCCGTGGTCTCCAGGCTCTCAGTTTGGGTGTCTTTAAAGGGCAATAACTCAGTTCCCTTTGCACAATTTTCAGCAAAACTTTGAACGAATAGAATCCATCCCATAGGACATCAAATTTGTTCGTATGATAATGATAAGAATTAATCAATGTGTACGAGACGTCAATTTTTTTTTACAAATTAAATTTTAATCAAAATTATTGAGCAAAATGCAAAACTGTGCTCTCTTCTTGTGGCCAGCTATTGGGACTTTATCGGCCCGTTCTCAATTCAAGACGAGGACGGTATAAAGACCACGACCGTCACATAATTTAATAGCTATCTCGTCGTACAGACAGAGTTTTGGGGGTTATGTTGTTATTGAGGAGGTCTGGTTCCACTTCCAGCAGATTGGGCCATGCCCCTCACATCAAGGGTTGGGATGTCTTTGCATGGTTGTTTAAAAAAGTTTGGGGAACGCCTCATAAGTCGAAAACTTACAAGTGAATGGTCACAATATTCCCCCGAACCCGGCGATTATTTCCTTTGTGGGTCTGCGGGGGGGGGGGGGGGGGGTACCCAGCAATCTTCGAAAACAACCCACAAACAATGAAAATAGTTGAAACTCAATGGTAAACCAAACAAAAATCTACCCGAACACATGCCACATTTAAGGGGATCCAGGGGCTAAGTGAGTAGTGAGATCAGACTCAAGAGTAAAGTCAAGCAAGTGTCAGTGACACGGGGATCAGATGAGCGGTCACTGGGATGTGTCCTTGAACAAGACAAGACAACACAAGTTCAAAAAAAGAGGGCGCTGCACAGTGGCGACCAGCTATGGCATGGTTTTGAAATTGTTATGTATTGGTGTAATATTGTGTTTTTATGTATGTCGTGTGTGAATTTATGTATGTATGTATAATTACATGTATATAACTATAAATTAATATATATTTATTATTTTTTATTCGTAATTTCCAGTGGCGTATTCGAGCTTGTCTGGAGAGACTTGGTCAACATCTGGAACATACAACTGAAATATCCACTGCCTTTCCTGAACATATGTGGTAGTGGCAGTTTTACATACATTTATTCTTCAAAGTACAAATACACATTATAACTTTTTTTTAAAGTTGAAACGTTTTGCGTTTACCTCAATTTCGGTTGAAATCTTTAAATCTTAATGATTCTCGAACACGTGCGTTGATTTTCTTCAAACTGATAAATTTAACGTTCCCTTGGTTGAATAATGTTTTTGTTTCAGAATTTGTTGAAATTTGCCGAAGATAACCGAGTTAGTTATCATCCATTAAAAATTATGGTTCCTCTTTTTTTCAGAGACCTGATATTAGCGTGCGCCCAATTCTCTTGCATGGTCCATCATGACGTTCAAATTCCCTCCGCAGGTGCTATTACCTCTGGCTAAATATGGGAGGATCAAGGTCGATTCCTCCCCGTTTTCCGACGGTCTTTTGTCGAAGCATTTTAGCGCCCTCCTCTCGTGTGGGAGAAGCATGATTTTTCTACTTTTTTTCTCCAACCGTGTTGGTGCAGCCTACTATGTAATCCATTGCCACAAGGTAGGAAGATCATGGGGAAGATGTAGTGCTGTTTGTCTTAGAACGGAGACAGTTGCCACTTGATGACGAACTTGATGCTTGGGACTCTTGTTTCGGCATGCTGTGCTTGAATAATTTGGCTTGGCCTGTGATCAACCTCAGAGGCATTTATTTTGAGCAACATTCAGACGATTGATGTGGGTGTCTGAGAGCCAAGGCTGCCAGCTGCTGCTACTTGTACTAGCAAAGTTGAATAAACGAGGGCGAGATAGGTCCTGTCTTCCTGAGCTTTGCTTTTTTCGGCCCTAGATCTAGTCGAGTATGATACTGCACTGCTGAGCATCCGCATACGTCACAGATTGGAGGAATATGATTTTTGGATCTGGCTTCGATGTTTCCTGCCGATGATGAGCTAGCTGGGATAAAACGTCTGTTTATGACCCCTTCTTTCAAACACGCAGCATGGGATTTATTGAAATGTTAAGTAGACGGCCCGCGGTTGGTATGGTTGGTGAAAATGTTAGGGACGACATGGGGCCTTGAGGGGGAGGGGGTGACATGTGGAGAAGCTGTCTCTCTGGTGACGGTGGCGGTGGCGGCTGATTTAAAAAAAAAAAATTTTACTATTGGTTTGATGTGTGGAACTCTAAAGTGTCACACGCGTTCTAGTACACGAAGAGAATGAAGCCAGTGGTCCCGTTATTGTTTCGTTGTTGTTGTTGGTGCTTTTTTTATTGTTGTTGTTGGTTTTTGTTGTTGTTTAATTTAGCTTGTTTGTTGTGGGGTTGTTGGTTGTTGTTGGGGTGTTTTTTTTCATTAACTCTGGCCTGATGTACAAACAGACAGCAAATGTGCACGTGCTACAACAGGCGACCTCAGTACAATGACGGATTTCAACAACACCACAGAATTATTAAATTGGTTGTGCTTCTCGTATTTTCATTGTTCTAAACTTACCAACAGCACAGTTGGCGAACTGCTTTTTCATAATGCAGTACTAAGCCAAATGTCCCAAATAACTTAAGTTTCAATTCTTGCGCTTGGCTTACAACAAAAATGAAGCGCTTTTAGCTGCAAAGGCCTGTGGGATATCTTAGTTTTTGTAACATAATCGTTGTTGTAACAGTTGCAGAAATTTTGGTTGGACAGTGCCAATGGTAGGTTCTACCTCTTTACTTCCCCTCTATTGTTTCTGTCTGTCTGTCTGTCTTACTTTTTCTTAGCAGTTAATGGCCATTATAGTATTGATGTGCTTCTATTTATCCAAATAAACAAACTACATGTATCTTAAAATTGAGAAAGTGGGTGGTTGGCGGGTGCACTGGCGTGGTTTGTGGTGTGTGCTCTGGTGTGGTTTGTTCATTCTTTCCCATCAAACATCTCTCATTCTTGTCTCTTTGTGCTTGTTACTCTCTTTTAACACCTCTAAACCTCGGCACTTATATGAACGTATACATCATGCATTGTGTTGTAAGTGCAGTAAAACTCTTTTAACAAAAACTAAAACTAAGAGTTGGGAGAGAGAGAGAGAGAGAGAGAGAGAGAGAGAGAGAGAGAGAGAGAGAGAGAGAGAGAGAGAGAGAGAGAGACAGAGAGAGAGAGAATCTCTGCGTGTGTGTGTGTGTGTGTGTGTGCATGTGTGCGCATGTGTGTGCATACATGTGCAGAGGCGCAAAGGGGTGCGGGCGGGAGGAGGGGGGGGGGGTATCACAGCCTCTGATATCTTTACACTGTGTTAACTTGTGACCACACCATGCCTGATTCACATGTTTTCCTTGTAAGACTACGTTGCACCCTCACCTTCATATGTGCACAGGCTTTTCTTTTTTTCATTTATTTTGTTTTTATATATAGGCTACATGTATGTAATTTCAGCTCCACGTATATGTGCCTTTTATTGTCACTGCAAGGCTGCTTTGAGATTATTTTTTCCCCAAGTAAATCAGTTCTCTTCAAAGCACCACCACCACCACTACCGCCACTGCTGCTGCTACTACTACTACTACTACTACTACTACTACTACTACTACTACTACTACTACTACTACTACTACTGCTGCTGCTGCTGCTGCTGCTACTGCTGCTGCAGCTGCTGCTTCTGCTTCTGCTGCTGCTACTGCTGCTGCTGCTGCTTCTGCTGCTGCTACTGCTGCTGCTGCTGCTGCTGCTGCTGCTGCTACTACTACGCTTGCTGCAGCTGTTGCTGATCCCACTGCAACAATTGGGCCTACCTCTCTAATACACGTTGGCCTGCTGCAAAAAACATACTCTTTTTAACAATATTATTAAAATTTTGTTTGTCACCGTGGCTGTGGCAGAGGAGATATCCGGAGTCCGGAGAGGAGCATACTACATACCTCAGCACCCTTTTCTGCCACTGTGTATTATAGGGCCCGATGATAACGTTTTGCTGTGTTCACACTGTGTACTGGCCACCCAGATCTCCCGCTGTACCTTGGCCGAGTAAGGAGACTACTCCCCTTACCAAGCCATTGCTTTGACCTAGGTGGTACATAGTACAACACTGTCACCAGTCATCTGTTTGCAAAGGATCTGAATGGCCTTAAAATTTAGTACCGGTAGTGATCTCCATCAGCATTGAGAGAGAGTATACACTTTGGGTTGGGTTGTTTTTATTTTTTACATTATATAATCGCTGTTATAACCTTGATGCAGGCATAGAATCATAGATCTATTTCTGTGTGGTTTAGAGTATACTATAGTTAACGCCCCCAAATCCCTCTTTTTTTTCTTCCCCCCCCCCCCCCCCCCCTCTCTCTCTCTCTCTCTCTCTCTTTCACAAGCACACACACTCACACACACACAGACACACACACACACACACACACACACACACACACACACACACACACACACACGTTCGTATCATAAATTGGCACAGACACCTGCACACGCTTGATCTAACAATTTTTGTCAAAGTTTATAATAAGGTTGGGCAACAAATAGCCATACCAACACATATATAAAAACAAATTACGAAGGGAGATTACTTCTACTTCTGCTAAACATTATTGAGAAAATTGTACAGGGGTCTCAAAAGTCGCCGGACTGCACCGCTGTATGTTAAATAAAGACCCTAGGCTGCATTGTTCTCAAAACAACAATAATAACTTAATTGTGAGCTCAGCTGGGAATGTGAACACTGAACACTTCCTTGTTTTCACCGTGGACCGACAAGGGAAAACTGCTAAATTAATATAGGCCTAGGATATTACAGTCCGGTGACTATTGAGACACTCTATTTTTCAAATTTTGTGTAGGCCTACAATTCTCAACTAGATATATTTATATATATATAAATATCCAATTGAACTTGAAAGAAAAGATCAATGTGAAAGTGAAATGAGAATTAGAATCTAGGACGCCTGTCGTTCGGCCCGATCCAGCCGAAGTCTAGATCTTGTGGGCCACCCCCTATTCTTTCAATTTTGCTGAGTAGGCTGAGTTGAGCAAACGATCGGGTCAGGTTTGATATAGATCTAGAATCTAATATAACTTTCAGTAAGAATTATTTTATGATTTTTTAAATGTTGGGATATAAACTTTTGAACTAAATCTTTCCCGCGTGTCGTTGGTCAAGGAGAATACTGATGACAAATTATAATGAGAATAAATAACCGAAACTAACCAAATTATTCAGTATAATCACATATTTTGTTGACCTGAGCACGTGACTAATCCTGGCACACCACGGAAGTGCAACGATGACGTTAACAGCTTGACGAGATCGATACCGTCTTTTTAGATACTTCTTTCAAAGATTTAACTTATAAACTCGATACCTATCTGCTGCTCATAGCCTAGGCTTGGCCACTTGTAATATGCCTTCTAGGCCTAGGAGCTTTTCCATTCACAACTTTCCTTGCCATATTTTATTTTCTTTGAAGCTGTATATCTCCATTTCATCATATGTTTATGAGAAGCTGGCTGTTAAGCTTCTTTTTGTTTTATTAAGAATAATAGGCCTACCTCTCTTGTAAAAGAAAACTGCAATCTAGGCAGCCTTCCAGTTTGAGATGCTTTACTCATATTTACTACTGCATTTTGGTCATAAAGGCTAGGGTTAGGGTTAACAATTACTTAGCCTAACTCCTGAATCCAGCAAATCGTGTACATTAGGCCCTAAGGCCTATGTTGGCTAAAAATCGAAAACATTTATTATACTCGATATTGAAAAGAAAATATTTACGATACCAGATACTCGAGCCTATTTTTATCGAAAAATATGTATCGATACATACACAGCAATATCTTTAACCTCACTCCAACCTCTGGAGGTCGCAACTCATTCTGTGCGAAAAGCTGGCCGGTGCTAGAATCACAAGATGTCTCATTCTGCAGCAATTCTCCGAAAATTCTCAAGCAGTTTTCTGAAAGTCAATCAGGTAAGACTTACTTATGTTCCCTGAGTTCGTACAATAGCTTGAAATATTGGATTTTCTCGTCCAAGAAGAGAACTTACGACAGTACTCAAAGCTTTACAATACACTTTTTGATCCGGAATGACCCACCGGTGGGCTGATGTGTGGGTAGCCCCGGTAGCAGTATCTCAGCTGTAGGGACTTGATCTAGAATCTAGATTTTCTATATCTCTAGATATAGATCTAGATTCTAACTCCAGATGTCTGGATGTTTGAGAATACTGACGCTAATTGGAAGGATAGAATCAGTCATAGATAGCTTAGGCCTATCTAAGAAATCTAGATCTAGATATATCTAGATTCTAGATCAAGAAGAAATATCTATGTCTATCCAGAGTCACCTTCACTGTAGACTGTAGTGACTGAAGGCTTCATCACAGCGCAGTTGGCTAGTTTCTCTGACAATTGGTCACTAGATCTAGATATCTAGATCTAAGATCTAGATCTAGATCTAAATCTAGATTCTAGATCTACTTGCAGATCTAGACTTAGATCTAGATCTAGATTTAGATCTGTTCAGACAAACTTGTGTAATACTTAACTAAAACAGCCACCCATTGATTGTCATGTGTCATGGCGAAAAGTGGCTGTATGCGTATTTATTATAACTAGATCTAGATCTATAACACAGGTGGCCGTCTTTTAGGCAAGACTGATTAAAATGAAGAAAGCAAACCATTCTCTTCTGAGGTCCAAACCAGGGCTGATCTCAGAATTTGGAGTGCCGTAGGCGGATTCAAAAAGGGTTTTGTTTTCTTTCGAAAAGAAAAGGTTGGGGGGGGGGGAAAAGGGGGGGGTAAGAAGGGTTTTTTAGTGTTGTTTTTTGGTTTATTCTGTAAATAAGACGATGAAGACCGAGTGCCGTGGTAAAACAAACTCACAGGTCGCTAAAACTCGGAGAACTAGCGACTCATGTGTCACAAGTTCACGTCAACGTCCGTCCATTGTAACTTTGTTAAAGATTAGGTAAGCAAAACCGTCACCAGTCACCTCACACACAATTTGTGCATGAGTTGTGGGTGGGGCTTATAGGTAATGACAGATCACGGGTCCCTTGCCAGCAGTTGAAAATTTATTGTTAGGCATACCCATTGGTAAACTTCCACGTAAACATTCATTGGAGGGATTAACAATATCGACAGGATGACATCCCGTCCACAGCGTGAGGGGCCAATTCAAAATGTATGACAAAGCATTAGGCAATGAGTGACCACGCCTGGCTGCCTGAGGCAGGTAAATTTGACCTTGGGTTGATTTAATTGTAAGGTGGCCGCAGCTGCGATGGACAGGTGACCATTGTACACTGTTAAATTATATTTTTAAAACGCAAGGGGAGAAATGGAAAGTGGCCGTTAGTACAGAGGTGGCCGTCATGGCAGGTTTGACTGTAGTTCAATAACAATAGCCATAAGATTTTCCTGATATAACTATAACTATAGTCTATTGCTTTTTGTAATTTTTTACCCTTTTTTACAGTTGTTTTTTTTTTACTACAATATTGACCTGGCATGTCTGTAGACTGAAAAATGATGTAGATCTAAAATCTAGTAATCTAGTTGGTAAATTTCGCTTTATCTTTTAATGGCATTCAGTACCCTCCCCCTCGCTGACTCACTTGTCTTCTTTGTGATAAAAAAGAATGGGGAAGAATTCCGAAACGAGCAACCAGTGAAATCCAGAAATAATCAATGGCCATCAAATTTCTTTCTTAGACTTCGGGCTTCTTGATTGAATAGGTTTTCCACTTTTTGAATTTTTGTGTTCAAAGTAATTGGTTAAAGTCATGGCTGCTTTTTATTCGAGGGGTATTCTTTTGACACGTTCGATAGCTGTAAATTAGGATATTAAACTACTGCTAAGAAGAGGAAATGTACATTATATTGATTTGTTGTGACTGTAAGTGTTTTCTTTTCTTTCCCAGAATCTGCTACCAGCTTCTCTTGTTGGATGCCGACAAAGTAGCACTGTAAGTATTTAGATCACTCTGAAAATGTTTTGCACCCTGAATTGCATTTTGTTCATAAACATATGCTGACGTCTATGGTTTGTTTGGTAAGTCTTTTACAACACTCCCAACTGCATAAATTTATATGAGCGGGCGGGACACCTTATCATTAAGCATATTTTAGTTCAGTATGCATCAATTTTGAATTTTGCACAGGTGGTGGCTGAAGCCTACTCTTATCGATTTTGGACCATCAAGCAATCTTGTGCGACTTGCACACGAGACCTCCAAGATTTTTCGCCTTTATGCTTGGTAGATCTTACCTACCTTAGGATCAGGGTGTGGCTGAAAGACGGCAGTAAGAAGGAGCCAAGGAGTGGCAATAGAACAGGATCCCCAAGTAATGTGCTCATTCTCTGAACATAACCTACATATTGGCATGTCCATGATCATACACAGTACAGCAAAATTATGATTTTTTTTTTCCTTTCATTTCAGAACCTGAAAGATGTCTTGGAGAAAATTATTCCTGAGAAGCAGAAAGAAGTTCAAGAATTTCGAAAACAGCATGGAAGCACAAAAGTTGGAGAAGTTACAGTGGACATGGTCAGTGTCTAGGATGTCATAGATCAGCTTTCTGATGGCAAATGGTTGACTGGCCTTTGAACCTAGTAAATGTTAAATGGTTACATCACCATATATTTCATTTCATTCTTCTACAGAAGATATCAAGTAGACAGATCTGATGTGATATATGCAATTTACAAATTACATTGTTATTTAAAGCGTAGTTTGCTCTGTGGTTTGTGTTTTGTCGCTAATTGCAGTTAAGTGTGAATAGGTGTTTTTGAGAAATACATGTAGTAGTAGGGCTGATTTTTCTGAAAAAAGTGATCATGGAGACACAGAGCTGTTGGGAAGGGTCAATATTTAGAATTGTATTCTGTGGTGTACTTTTTGAGAGTTTTTAGAAAATGGAATGAGCTTTACTTGGATTTTTTAATATTTTTTTTTTGGGGGGGGGGGGGTTTGCTCATATAATCAACTTAAAATTAAGCTTTCAAAGCAATTTCTAGAACAGTTAGCCGTGAGTGAAAGTTGCGGCTACTGAGTAATTTTATGTGGTTGAATGTGGAGGAATACAACACTGATTATTAAAGGTATGGTACCAGTTTCACTTCGGAAGCTTGGATATACTTTTGGTCTCTTTGATTGCAAAAACTGACAACCTTTTTGCTCTATTCTTAGACGTTACTAATTTGGAAGTGTTAAGCCTAAGTGTCAGTGCGTTCTTGAGCAAAGTACAAATACAGTTGAAAGTTTTGAAAAGGACCTCTTATTGTGAAGGGAAAAAAACAGTTGTCTTTGAGAGATGATCTGCTTGGACAGTGACATTATATTATAGAAAAAATGGAAGGGGCAGGAACGGTCATTTGTACAGTCAATTTTCTGGAACAGGTGGTTATTACATCAGGCTAATTGTGTGTGTGTGTATATATATATATATATAGAGAGAGAGAGAGAGAGCTTCTGCTTTTGTACAAGTACCTAGCTCTGTTGTTGACATATTACACACATGTGTAATTTTTTTGGTGTTGGTAATTTGAAAGGGCTTCTGTTTTTGTCCCAGTCCTATTTGTCCCTTTTTTCTGTTTACTTTATAATCTTTGGGGGTCATTATTGTCATGCATGCATCACAGCTTACAAGCTCATCCAATATTTTGGTTAGCTGTACAAATTGTGAGCGTTCATGCTCATTCATCTTTACATGTGAACCCTACTTCTTTTGTTACAGATGTATGGAGGTATGAGAGGAATCAAGGGTTTGGTTACTGAGACATCTGTGTTGGATGCTGATGAAGGTATTCGCTTCCGGGGTTACAGCCTCCCAGAATGCCAAAAGCTGCTGCCCAAAGCAAAAGGTGGAGCGGAGCCTCTACCAGAGGGACTGTTCTGGCTCCTGGTGACAGGTGAAATTCCAACGGAAGAGCAGGTTGCTTCGATCACAAAGGTAAGGTTGCTGCTTGTCACAAAATAGTGCAATGATTTGGTTTTGTTCTTGTTAGTCGATGGTGTTTGAGATATATAAATGAGATTAATCTTCAACTGTTTTTACATCATGTACAAAGGTGAAATGGCCATTTGTGAGTGTGGTGTATATCAGTGCCCATTGGTCGGGGTTTAATTCTGTTAATTCACGACTGGTGTCTGGGCTGTGCCTGGACACTGATGATTGGTAGTGGAGTTTGAATGAAAATTTAATAACTCTTTCCTGGATGCAAATGTTGTATTTTATTATCCTTTCATCTCGAAAATTAGAGAGGAAAAAAATGTGACTTTCAAAAGTTGGAAAAAATTTAATAAAATTTTGGTTGTTGCAATATTTTAAGCCACTATTTGGAGAGTGGCTTATATGGGTGAGCCCGTTAAATTCATGTGCGCTTTTTGTACCCTTGAATATGAATGAGCACATCTAGAAACTTTTAAAATCTGTTTGTCTCAATGCCAGGTCTGAAAGAAAGCCTTGCGTACTCAAATTACGTTTCGATCCTCTATTTAAAAAAGTAACAAGCTTCATATGGTGCCATTTTTTGGGTTGAGTTTTGTTAACTTTTTCCCTTATATGAAAAGTGAATTACCCCTTTCCCCCATAATCTTGTTCCTCATCCAACACTGTGTGAGCTGTTCTATCTGACCCAAGGATGGTGAATCACAAAGCAAGTTCAGGGTTTCCTCAAACAATTCTGGAAATGACGGTAGCCCTGGTTATAGAGAAAAGGTCTTTGGATCTGAAGACTACATTTCCTTTATTTTTATACTTTAATGTTTGCGAGTTATTCTACAGTGCATAACCCTTTTTGAGGTTTCTGGGTTGTTGGGTTTTTTTGTCAATTATAAATATTTAAGTGACACTATTCTTTTCCAATCTTTGTTTTCAGGAGTGGAATGATAGAGCAGAGATCCCAAATCATGTGATCACAATGCTGAACAACTTCCCAAGCAAACTTCACCCCATGTCTCAGTTCTGTTCTGCTATAATTGCCATGAACTCAGAGAGCAAGTTCGCCAAAGCTTATTCAGAGGGTATGCACAAGTCCAAGTTTTGGGAGGTTTGTATTTTTCTCTTCTTCATTTTAGTGTTGTGCCTTTGAAAAGGAGTGCTTCAATATCCTGAAAATTCAGTGCTCAAAATTATGTGGCCATTGTAGGTTGTGACTATGTATGTTAAGCATAAAATGTGATGTGTTTTATATTCTTATTTATTATGTATGAGGCTGATAAACCATTCTCCAAACCTTCCATACTTTATTGTGACAACGAATCAAAAAGGACTCTGTTCATTCTCTTTTTTAAAGTATGTTCTTCAGTAACACTGTTAATATGCTAATAGTTTCCTCATTTCATTTTGAAAAATTCTTTTTTATGCTGGCCAATGAAATGACAATGCTGTTTGTGTGATCTACTAATTATGAATATGTAATGGAATTTTGTGACTCTTTAAAGAAAATTATTCTTTGATCTTATTTTCAGCTGTGCTATGAAGATTCGATGGATCTCATTGCAAAACTCCCTACAGTAGCTTCCATCATCTACCGTAATTTGTATCGTGAGGGAAACCCACCAGACTCCATTGACTCAAACAAAGATTGGAGTTGGAACTACGCCTCTATGCTGGGTTATGAGCAGGAAGGGTTTATTGAGGCCACAAGATTGTACCTCACCCTCCACACGTAAGTAGTTTAAAAAGCCTGTCAGTCATGGAAAATACATTTTAGAGCTGTGGCTTTTATTTTAAGATTCCCGGCTATAGACAGGCTTTAATTTCTGTGAGGTCATAATTTTGTAAAGCGTAGTTACATTAGGCTTGATAATTGTAGATGATTTGTTCCTTCAGAGATGAAAATAAAGGTATTCCTTTCAATTGACAGTTCCATATACGGTAATTAATAAATGAACATCACAATAGAAAGCTGACCTGTAAGACTGATTCATAACAGATCTTTGGACGCATTTTAAAAAGATATGTTTTTTTTTAATTAATTGGGAATATAAATAGAATGCTTTTAAGAAATTTTCTTGTTTGATGAAAAGAATTAAAATTATGACATTTTGAAGTTTGCTCATTTTATTATGTTTTTGACTTTTTGGTTTAGTCACATTTATAAAGCCCACAATTTGAATGTCTGGCCTTGATATCCATTCCATTAACTTTCCGTAGTGCCTTAATGTATTCATGTGCAAGAGACCTGAGTTTAATTTCTGCGTGTGGAGACTATCAAGTACCTGGAATTTTTTGGCTGGGTTGGCCCTAAATTGTATCGACATGGACGTAAAATCACCTATATTTAAGAAAAATTTTAGACTTATTTATCATCACTACTGCTGCTTCACATGACTTATATAAGCTGAAACTATTTCATTCCATTGTGCATGGTTGACTTGTGTATATTCATTTTACCTTCTGTGTGCAGAGACCACGAGGGTGGAAATGTCAGCGCTCATGCAACCCACTTAGTGGGAAGTGCTCTTGCTGACCCGTACTTGTCTTTTGCTGCTGGTATGACTGGACTTTCAGGACCTCTTCACGGTCTGGCCAATCAGGTATAATGCTGTGATTTGGGGCTGAAATCACTGATTTACCTGCTGAATACAAAGTTGTAACTTGGTGGAATTTCTTGTATGCTTCCATCCAATTTATACATACTCGTTTCAGTTTGTCTTTATTATGCTCAGTCATTGAGAAAATCTATATATATATAATTGCATACATGTGGATGGTTGTTTTCTATAGCTGAAAAAACTACGGAACATAGAACCATGAAAAAATTACTGAAGGTAGTTCAAAGACCAAGCTAAGTTTCTATCTATTTAGTAAGTGCTTGTATTCGCCTAAAAAATTTAGAAAAATAGAAAACACTATCGGCAGTTTACGGTTTTCCCGTTTGTCATTTGAATGCAGTGTACAAGACATATTTCGTTTTCCATGATATAAAAATGGCTTTTCCGCCGGAAATGAACAAATCTTCTTTGGGCGCCTAGAGATTATATTTTTGAAAGTTCGTCACTTTGGTCGCCTAAAACGTCCGAACCACTTGACTTTCGAATTTGAAAAAAATAACTGTGGTTCAGAATCATTTAAAGGGTACGCAGTTATACTATGGAGTCTGGAGCCAGTGTTGTTTAATTTTCAGTTTTTCCTTAGTTTCGTTTAGTTCTAATCTTGGGAAAGTCCATCTTCTAAGACGCCATTGTAAACAAGTGAGACTTCCGTTCACATGCTGTGCGCACTGAACCCACAATGACTTGATGATGAAGTCCGTTCATCGAAGGGGGTACCCAGCTAACTTGAAGATTATCTTTTTCTTTATTTCATTCTTGTTGACCTGCAAAAATGTTATGAAAGTGTATAAATTGTTTAAGCTCAAATTCTCTAGAGCATTAAAATATTTTGTCACTGGCTTGCCATCAATTTTATACAGTTTTGATTGTTTTGTGTTTGGATTTTTTGTCAGGTCTTAATATTGTATTTGTTCATATGTACATGAAATATGGAAAGTGAGGCACTTTTTTATTCTATAGGAAGCCCTAGTCTGGTTAACGAAGGTGCAGAAACAGTTGGGAGGTGAGGTGTCAGATGATGAGCTCAGACAGTTTATCTGGAACACCCTGAAATCAGGACAGGTAAGCCAGCTTACAGTTTTACTCAGTTATTTGGTATGGTTATCATTTGTCATTGTCAAAGGCAGTGCTGTGAGAGCCAGCTAGCACCATGCTTGCAAGACTTAACTGGACTGTAGTAAAGACGGAAAGTCTCATCTAGCGGTAAGCTGAGAATGCATGTCCTTGCAAGAAATGTTGTTGATAACACCCAATCACTGCCACCAGTGTTCAAGTCTTCCTTTTCTCCATAAACATATAACGTATAACTTCAGTGGTATCTTATAGTCTGGTAGTGATTCTGCTGAAAGGGGCTCTGTTTGATGATATTGTTAGATCTTGGGGGGGGGTTGGTTTTTTTAAGGGGGCACCCCAACAGTCCCGGTTCGGCTTAAAACTATGGATTTTACGTTGTAGGCATTTTTAGCTTCTTAAGCCTCTCTTACAACTTTTTCATCTCTTAAGAACCCCCAAAAGCCTTATTTCTTCCCATACTAGGCATGTTTGTCAACATTTACTCATAAAGTCAATCTTTTGGTTTTCTTTATCTCCCGTTTTCTCGAAACGTTGATGAAATTTTCACAAAATGAAGAAAAGATGCAATACTAAAAATTTGTGCTATGAAATTTTGATGGAATAGTTTTTTTGTTGGTGGTGTTTGGAGTGTGGATTTTCACTGATTTTTTGCAAACATGAATACTGCCTTTGAGAAAAAAATTCATTAAAAAATTTCTAGTATGCTCAGGAAAAGTTCATCACACAAATTTGTAGATCTATTGTTTGCCAAGATGGATGAAAAAAAACAACACAACAACAATTTATTTCCATGAAAAATAAGTGGGGGTGTTAATTATGTAAGACATGTCAACAAAATCCAATATGGCGGCCGTATCCATGGAAACAAAACATTTTTTCTCAGATTTGATTAGATTTTTAGACTCTTAATATGCTCGTTATCTGTGTGAAATTTGCTAACATTTTATCCACTAATAAACGAGATAGCCTTCAGCTGCCGCCCCTCCCCTCTTAATTTGCTGGAGAGCACGTCCTTGGACTCTTCTAGAATGTTATGGCATGTTCACTATGTGTTTCTCAAATTTTCAGCCAAATACTTTTGAATTTTTTTAGTGCCAGTGTAGGGAGTAGGGATTTGTACAAATATTTGGAGTATGTATATTTTCAAAGTTAATTTTGTGTCCGTGTTTTTTTTGTCTAGGTTGTGCCAGGCTATGGTCATGCTGTACTGAGGAAAACAGACCCCAGGTACATGTGCCAGCGAGAGTTTTGTCTCAAGCATATGCCTGAAGATCCTCTGTTCAAATTGGTCGCTCAGATCTACAAAGTTACCCCAGATATTCTCATTGAGCAAGGCAAAGCTAAGAACCCGTGGCCCAACGTTGATGCCCACAGTGGTGTTCTCCTGCGGGTGAGTTCATATGACATTCTCGTTTGTCTTTTATGTGATTGAGCCAATGTATAGTGATTTTGTTAAAATGGGTTCTTATACGTTTTTTATTCAATTTTTAAATTACATAGCAGCAAAAAGCAAAGTAAATGAAAAAAAGAGGTAGTAGTTCCCTTTTTTTAGTAGGTGCTTGTCTTGGTAAGTTTTAATAAATGTAGAGAAATACCACACATATATTTTTGATAAGATGGTTTTACTCAACTCGGTTTTTGCTATTTATGATAAGATGGCTTTACTCAACTCGGTTTTTGCATATTTGGTAATTAAGGTCTTCAATACTTGTGCTAAATTATAGTGAGTGGTTCAAATGGTGTTTAAGTTTCTGTCTTAAAGGGTTGTCAGTCTTAATTTTTTCAAAGGCAAGAAATTTTATTTATCTTGTTATAACCTATCATTTTGAGTGCAAGTTCATATTTGACTTCTATGTTGTGAATTATCAGTAAAACACTGTGGAACTCAGATTCAATTAAACGAGACAGATTCCCCTAGGTTTAAAAAAAATTCAATTGAATTCAGTGAAATAACTCGGATTCAGCTAACACATAAATGGGCAAACATGGAATCCATGAAGTTGCAATGAACCTTATCTACTCTATTCCAAGAGGCCATCTATCTCATCCTTACCCTAGCCTATTGCGTATATCTCATGCATCCACACACACACACACACCCCCCACGGCTACTGGACCGTGGAAGAATGAAAGGCAAGTCTAGATAGAGGTGTAAATCTCAAAAGAAATTGTGCGCTGGTTTGTAGTTAGACGTTGCCGTATACTAAGCCCTACATTGTTGCGTAATTTGTTGCTTACATTGCTATAAGGAATACTTGGATTCAATGAAATCAAAGGTCAGGCCCAACAACTTCGTTATTTCCGAGTTTCACTGTAGACAACATTGACCATAGGGAGCTGCCGTGTAGACTAAAGTATTTTTTGCTTTTATTTCTGCCTCCCTGCAGGGATTGTTTTTGCAGCTAGTGCAGCTTATAATACCGTTCCTGTTTGTTGTTTGCTTGCAGCACTATGGAATGACAGAGATGGGCTACTACACTGTCATGTTTGGCGTGTCCCGAGCCATTGGTGTGCTGTCATCCTTGATCTGGGACAGAGCTCTGGGTCTTCCCATTGAGAGACCAAAATCCTTCGACACTCCTGCTCTGAAGAAAATGGTTGGGGCCAAATAGATTCTCAGGGGTTCCAGCCCCCTCTAGATTTTTATTTTAATTCCACTCTACCATATTAGTGACAATATTTTCCCTGTGGTGTAGTATTGTTTTCTTCTGTGCTGAGAGAGTGGTATGAAGTAGAGAAAATTAGAATGAATTGGGGGGGGGTTTCTCTCACCTAGATGATTTTTAAAAAGGTAAGATTTCAAACCCAAAAGAGACTTGCAGAATGTTGATACCTCAGGCTCAGAGAGTTATCTGGCATGTGTATAATTTGTCTTATTGATCACAGTACTTGATTTTTTAAAATAATTTTGTTTTTTGGTTGTTGTTGTGAAATATTATTGGGATTTGAGAATAGAGGTCTAGTACTAGTATAGTGCTGTGCTATGTCAGTATAGATGATGATAGTGTATTGATGATGATCATGCTGTGTGATTGACACCTGCTACTTCAGAGATTGCTACTGGAATATCTGACAAGTACAATGTGTACATTAAATATCAAAATCATACTCCCACACCCCTGAACAAAACTTGGATTTTTTTTCCCCCCGACACCATATTATTGTACATGGGCCAACACTAATTAATTGGTATATCGGCTTTCTTTTGTGAGTCTGCTTCACCTTGAATTTCTGTGGGGGGGTTTTATTTTGAAGGGTTTTTCTTGTGTTTTAGTGGTGACTTTTCCTGAGGTGAGAATTACCAGATTTTGCTCTCAGAACCTGACAATATGAAAAGGTAGCCCTCTACCTGTGTATAAACAAGTAGCGGTTATGGATTCTCATTCTGTGATTGACCAAGCGGTATTGAGTTGTGATATATTCATTTGATGAAACATTGCAGTTTGGACAATGTCCCAGTTGCTGGTTTCGTTCGTTTGTCTCAGTCATGAGCCATTGCCATGGGTTTAAAAGGTAGTGTTGAAAAATTCCACTGGTTCTGAAGGGAATATTTTCTGCATTGTGTTGTTTGAGGTGGTGAAAATGAACAATTAGCTCCTTGGTATCACTGAGAATCTTATTATTTTTAGCAATGTCTCCAATTGCACAATTACGTTCATTGTGGCCTTTAGGGGCACATTTTCATTCATACTTGTTGAAATGTTACTTTGATGCTAGGGTTGCCCAGATTCCCACAGCACATTGTGTAAGTACAAGTCAGCTTTCTGCGTTGACATCTAGATGAGATGAAACACTTGTTAAATATTAGTTAGGGGCACTGATTTGATAAACTCAAAGGAAGTGTATGTATGTCATCAAGGGGTACAAGCCCATCTTTGTTAATCACTTTTGTTTTGTCTGTCAATCAATACTTTTGTGACTTACATTTTAGCAACACAAAATAACTGTAACAGTTTGTTGTTGTTTTTTTTTCATTTTATTGATTCTTATAGTTATAAATTATAAAGACATCAGTTTATTATCATGTTAAGCTCACTCTGTGGTTCAGGATTCTGAATGGAAGTAAACACATTTCTGAATATGAAGTTTGTTAAAGGAGGAGTATAATTGTGTAGTGCGTTGACATTGCTGGAATGTTTTCAGGATTAAATTATGCGGACTTTCAAAATGTCTTGCTTTTTTGTTTTATTTTTGTTCTGTGTTTAGCCCAAGTATGTTATTGGGGCCACTGTGAAGTGGCGAGTGGTCTTGGCACAATGTGCCAATATGGGTGGTAAAAGATATCTTTCTTTTCCACCTTCCACTCAAACAGGCACTGCACTGACTGGTAGACTGGGTGGTTGGCAGGTGCTCTGGTGTGGTTTACTTCTTCTTTCCTGTCAAACATCTATCGTCCTTATCTCTCCTCCTCCTTTTTTGTGTTTGTTACTCTCTTGTAACACCTCTAATCTTCGGCACTTATATGACCCTATTGCGTTGCAAGTGCCATAAAACACTTACTAAAACTAAAAACTGACTGGTAGACAGGATGTGTCTGTGCATGTTGTAAATTCTCCATGAGCTGTTGAAAGGTAGTTCTTGTTCTGTGGGTGGTCTGGTGTGGTATGCTGCTCCTTTCCTATCAAACATCATTCTGTCTGTGGTTTCTCCTCTTTCCTATTAAATATCTATTGTCTTTATTATATCCTCCTTCTTTTCTTTGATCCATGACCATGTGTGAGTCACACAATATTGGGGGGGGGGGTGTTAATGATCGGGCCTTGATCATCTGAGACTGGCGTGTGGTTTGCCCCTTCTTTACAATCAAAAATCTTTCGTCCTCCACTCTTTTTTTTTTTTTATTAATTTTTTTTTTTGTTACTTTAAGTAACATCTCTGATCTTCGGCACTTTTATGACCTAATTGTGTTGCAAATGGCGTAAAATGCCTACTAAAATTAAAACATACCAAAAAAAGCATTTTGGTCTTGCTGAAGGGCATTGAAAAATTTGATGACATGGCAAGAGTTCCTGTGGCTTAGGGCGTGAGTCTAATGAATATTACTGCTGGTTTGTGAGGTATGTAGATGACGCGAAGGAACTTTGCTTTTCAGACTTTTCTATTTTGGTACACAAGTACGCCCTCTGTGCGGAGTAGGGGGGGGGGGTCAAGGGTACTGCTAACTGTGAGAAAATAATGACATCTTTCCTTCAGGCGCTGAAACACCATTCTCTGCTGTATTTTCTTCATTATTATTGGGTTTTGTTTGCTTCTCAACGTGGATCGCCTTCTTGTGTCATACATTGTTGGTATGAACAACAGAAAGTAGAAAGACCGCTTCCGGAAGAAAAAGGTTTAAAAGGCTGGTGGCGGCTACGCGGCCCGCCCCCCAGCAAATTTGGGGAGCGTGTCTGTGCTTGATTTTTCTGTACGCTCCATCTATATCCACGTCACTTCTAGGGCACAGTCTCTCGGCGTGAGGCTGGGTTGAGAGGGAAGGAATATTGCTGCAATAGGGACTGAAAACATATTAAGAAATCAAAATCTCGGTGGTTGGAGGGTGCTCTTGTGTTGTTTGATCCTTTCCTAACAAACATCTGATTGTCCTTGTCCCTCCTCCTTTTCTTTGTATTTTTACTCTCCAGCAAAACACATTCGGCCTTTATATGACTTACTTATGTTGCAAGTGCCGTAAAGCTCTTACCAGACTAAAACTAAATTGAAAGAGAAACTCAAAATTGCGTGAAGTTGCTTTTGCAAAATAAGGATCAGTCAGCGGGTCTGGTCCACATACTGCGTGCGACAAATAAAAAATCAATGTGTCTGTCTGCTTGAACAGCTACACGTAATGTACCGTACATCCTACAATAAGAGCGCCTCTGCACTGTGTCAATAATAATTATTATTATTATGCTAAAAAATTCATCAGCGCATTGCACCTGGCCTGAGAAGCAAGGCGCCGCGGGGCTAACACTACTAACACTATACTATCACTGGCTGGACACACCTTTTTGTCTTCTGTGTTCTTTTAATTTCAAGCAAATGAATCTGCAATTAATGCGTGGGCCTCGGCCAAAATGTTTTCGCTATAGTGTTGATCTAGATCTACGTGTCGTGGACACTGCTGTCTGTCTGTGAGAGAATAGACAGGTTCAGCGAGACAGGCGATAACGCGAAATGTTTTGAATATTTCAGATACATGTAACGTTTTCTTCTTCTTTTATAATATAACGTTCACTTTTTTTTTAGTTTCGTCTTTGTCTTCTTCCGCTTTTAACAATTATTTTTTATTGTGGTTGACACTAACTGTCAGTTGCCATATATACATGTATTTTTTTCTTAACTGTTTAGTGGAGTTTGAGGTCTTAAACGTGGGTGACCATTTTCACCTTGTTCTTTGTACGTCCTCCGCCCTCTTTGGCATGTGTCTTACGCTGTTTTAGTGTTTAGAAACTAGATGAGTCACCGATTTTTAAAAAAGAACAGCACTACAAAGGCTGACTGTCGTGGTCTTTTTTTTTCATTCGAAAATTGGCACAATTATAAACCAACCAAGCCTGCAAACTGTAACGTAGAATAGATCGGACACCACGTCAACTAAGGTAGTATTCTGCCGTACTACGATGTGGGTGACCCCGGTTCGGATCCCTGACGTGGCTGTCTTAATTATTGTTTGGAGAGTTTACGTGGCTTTTTGCCCGCTTGGCTCAGTCTTCTTGTGGGAAATCTGTTAGGTCAGTGATCCTTCCTCCTCCAAAGTAGCCTTACACAGTGTTTACCCATATCATGCCTACCACCAAATCGATACCAAGTTACCATAGGTGTAAAATACCATCAGGTGATATGATGTCAGCCCAGGTAGAAAACACGACACTGCTATGTGTGCGAAATTAATTCATCAACTGACAGAGTAAGCTTACACGTAGGCCTACGTTTTCTAAATTTCGCAAGCAGAGTTTTTAACGGCTATTCATACTCGTGTCTATAGACTGTAGTGTAACGGTTAGGTGCCTCACTGTTGCACGCCGAAGACCTGAGTTCGATTCTCGTGTGGGGAGAATTTGTACATATCGAGTATTTTCCTCTCTCTGAGTTTCTGCCGGGACGTTCTATTCCTTTTAGCCCGGGTTGGTAGCCCACTTCCTTAATCTGTCCCCGTCATTTTATGCAAGAAAAATTCTGAAATTATGCAAACTGAGCCCAAACATGTGAAATTATGCGATTCTGTTAATTTTAACAAAGAATGATAAAGGAAAATATTCAGAAATTATGCAAAAAAATGATCAAATTATGCGGGGTGCATAAAACTACGGGGACAGCTTAATTGATCTAAATTGTTTCAGTGGGGCCATGTTTTTAAAAAGGCTGTTCATCACACAGGCGATAGAGGGTATGAGAATACATGTACTTCTTAAACTTAAAGTTATTCAAAGGTGACATAAAATCCAACGGAACAGATCTGTAGCCATTTCTTTCGTCCATATTTCGGTCGGCAGTGTTTCCTGAAAACGACGCAAACTAGATCTAACCAAAGATAGTACATAACTACTATCATTGATCTAACTGAACAGCAGCAAAAGTTGTGCAATGCAAATACGATTATTCACACTCCGAAAGAGCGGCCCTTACATTCCACGTGCAATAGTAGAGGTGTCGCTCCAAGCATTTTGGGGCACATCTTTTTCTTTAAGTACCGCAAATAGAAGTGTAAACGTCTCTTGATGTAGTCTTTGATTGTACAATTTATCAAAGATAGTACATTTAATGTAATTCTTGTATTTTGCAAAATGGTTCGGTATCAAAGATTTACATTACAAGATGGTTTACTCTACCCATTGACTTCGAGATGCATGTACTTTAAAAAAAACCGTCATATCATGATGACACTGTTTTGTGATTCTGCGGTTGGCATAAACTTGTAGGCTGCACAAATAATAGCAATAAAAACGGCCTATCTATTTGAAACCTGAAACAAAACGTTGGTATCTGCCCCAATGGCGACATCTCTGTTGTTTGTGCATGTCTTGTCAAAGACGCTGTTTTTATTTGAAGGAACTTTCTCGTCGTACTGGTTTTGATAGAACTTACATACATCGTGATCTAACATGCTACAAAAAATAAAGTTAGTTCACAGCAAAGACATGAATTACAAATCCTAGACTGAGCACTATCATAACCGCTGCTCTTTGTTCTCAATAAAATAAAAACTTCGCTGCAGATGGAGCGCATAACTTTCCACTCCTCGCCCTTCATTTGGTTCCAGGGTATAGAATCAAATGGTGCGCTCCATGATGAATCGCAATTAGTGCGTTAGTGTAAGAGAGCCTTTGTGATAATATTATAAGTTTAGATCTATGGTTCGCAGAAAGTCGGTGCTCCAAGTGAAAATAGGAGACTATATGTAAGCTAGATCTACTTGTTTTTATCCGCACTAAGGAGAACCAACTGTGAACGAACACGTACATTGCCAAGGCCAAACCCAAACATTGACAAACATATTATTATCTCATTTTTCAACAAGACTGGTATTGGGGGGTAAGAAAACAAACCAACGCATTTTTGTCATCGCTGCAAAGGTTGGAGCACAATAGGAGCTGGCCGTGGAACTGTGCTAATTGGTATGAAAAAGAAAACAACCCAGAAAACCAGAAGTGGTGCTCTGGTTTTTTTAAATAATCTGTTTGATTGTACTATTAGATATTAGATCTAATTATAGATTCTACATCTCTAGATTCTAACCAGGAACCAGTGGCGTCGCGTGGGTTGCAGACAAGGTGGTGCATAATTGGAAAGTGAACAAATGAGCAATAGCTACTATTAAAATTGTAATGAGCGGTAGGCGGGCGCTCTGGTGTGATCTGTTCTTTTTATTGCTTTATGTGAGTCTCTCTATGCGTGTGTGTGTGTGAGAGAGAGAGAGAGAGAGAGAGGGGGGGGGGGGGGCAAAGAGATGGTGAGTGTGATTGGTGATCAATCCTTTCAGTGTCTGATCGATCAGTAAAAAGCAGACAATGGAAACAGTACAATTTCTTTTCGGACAAGCTCAGCGTAAGCCATTCATACTTATCATACCACGCACAGGAAAAACAGCGAACATTATTCTTGAGCTCAAAATCCCTAGGCTATTAAAGACCAAGCTGTTTTATGCGCTCTTTCTCTTCTAACTGTAGCCTGCTGAATGGCACATGAAGCAAAGCGTTAACGTGATTCATCTAGATTTCTTGAGAATCTGCAAGATATCCCGTAATCTACATCTTTCCATATAAAAATGTACCACTGTTTCTAGATGAAACCGCATAAAAGCTGCAATAAAGTGAAACAATACTAACAACTCACTATGCTCACAATCTGAGAAGATTTAAAGATTTCTAATTACTTCGTGCAGCACCAACAACCAGACTCCATTTGAAAATTTACCTTAACCTTAACAGGACTTGCTACACAATAGAGGGAGACAACAGTTTCGATACCCACTCTTCATTGGGTTACCGTTGACTCTAGTGTAGTAGATGCTAGCCTAGCGAAAACTTGGATCAAATTTTTAGCTTGCTCCAAATTGGTGCTGCAAAGAGGAGTTTCACGCACCTTTCTTCTTGTGCGGGAAGAACGATGCCTAGATTTCTTTTTAGTGCAAGGAGCTGTAAACTCCTTGCTTCAGTGACAAAAACAATAATTAGAAGAGGGAGGGGGTGAAGGTAGGCAAGAGTTAGGTGGAGCGCTTGCACCAACTGAACCAATGGCGCCCCGCCACTGACAGGAACTGAACAAAACATTAATCTGTACCGGAACTCGGAGTCCAGATGCTTTTATTCTTTTCGATAGCCTATATACTTAAGGCCTATACTCGTTGTGGAAGATGAAAATATCACAAGGCTAGATCTATTCGAAACTTGTCATAAAAAAGCTTTTTAATGGATTGACTAATCTGCTGTCACAGCTTGTTCCCTTTGCCTTCGGTTTTGTTGTTGTTGTTTTTAATTAAATTTCACTTTCAAAGGCAAAGACGTGGGTGGTTGGCGGGTGCTCTGGTGTGGTTTGCTTCTTCGTTCCTATCAAACAACTATCATCTTTATCTCCCCTCCTTCTTTTTTGTGTTTGTTACTCTCTTGTAACACCTCTAATCTCCGGCACTTATATGACCTTACTGTGTTGCAAGTGCCGTAAAACTCTGACTAAATCTAAAGGCAAAGACTAAGAGTTAGATCTATATTTTCAAATACAGAGTAGAGATTTTATCACCATCAACCTCCCTCACTATTTTATGGTACAATCAGATGTGAGCAGACATCACATGTCCAAACTGCGAGCGTGCTTCTGTTTCGAACCCAACTCCCTGACCATAAGCTGCACTATTTCATGTTATAATATTACGTGTATACTTTTATACGCTTCATGATTACGGCCTTATTGACTGAAAAGGCAATGACTTGGGGGG